GTCCCACAGCAAGGACATTTTATCATTATTTTATGGGCACAAAGGAGACTAGGGGAATAGTTGACTTCAGTGAAGTGGAATTTATGTCAAGGCCACTTCACTGTCTTATTTTAAGATGGAGTCAAACTTTAAAATGGAGTTAGTTAGGTCTCACACTGTGCTCTAAATGTATCTGGGTTTTGGAGACTTCATGTGAAAAAATAAAATAATTGAATACATTTTGTTATATTTGAAATGATATTTTGGATATATTAGATACAATATATTATTATTAATTTCATGCTTCTTTTTATTCTTTTTGAAGTGGCTCTTTTGAAGTTTCTAGTTACATATTTGGCTTGCATTGTAGATTCAGATTCAGTAGATCTCACTCAAGAGTCTGTACTTCTACAAATCTCAATCCTTCCCCAGTTGAGTCTCAGATGATTCTGTGAGTCTCTAGAGGATCCAGCTCGGCTGCACCCTGACTGTCTAGCTACAGAAATTGTGGAATAGTAAATGTACTACTTTATGCTGCTAAGTTTAGGGTAATATTGTTCTGTAGCAATGGATACTAATATAAATGCATAGTGATGATGTTTGCATTATATGGTATGTGCACACATTTTTAAGAAATTCTCAAATTGTTTCCCTAAATGGTTTTACTGATTTTTGTATCCTTCAGCAGTGTGGAAATCTGGAGTGATAAATACGCCCACTATCTTGGTATAGTGATGGTTTCAAACGTGTACACATAAATCAAAATTCATGAAATTGTCCACTTTAAGTAGGTGTAGCTTAATGTCCCTTAATATGGCTCATAAATTATATCTCAATAAAGCTGTAAATTAAAGTAAATTTTCAAACATCAGATCTACTTTGAACAGAGCACCAGATCACACCAATGCACCCTGTTAAGACAAAATTTTTCAATTATTTCCTACTGAATAGTTGATGTAAAGACAAATAATATTTTAATTGCATAAAGAATTCATAACAGGCTAAGTAAACAAGGTAACATTGGAATGGACTTTTATAAAAAGAAAAATATTTTGATGTGTAGAGTTAGATATAAGCCCATTCCCTGCATAGAAAGATTACTTCACTAATGCTTTTATTTATTCAACCAATACACATTAACATCTGCCTGCCCAAGGAGTGTTCTGAGGACTGGGAAGGCTTTTTCAACTGCTCTGAGCAAACTTTCAGACTGGGATTAACCAATTTGAGTATGGCCAAGGAAAAATTATGCTCAAAATTTAGTTTGTCTTTTCCTACTGTTTCTAGTCACCCACTTAATTGAATATTCTCTCATTTTAGAGAAAGGCACTACATTGAAACACAGCAAATTATGTAAATAAATGTCATGTAAATCAGCATGCACTTTTATACATGTGGTCAGTATGTACATGGTTAATAGATATTTCCAGAATTGCTAACTTGAATAAAAGCAAACATAAACATATGATTAAATAAATTTCAACAACAATATCTTCTATTACTCCTCTTCTATCGCCTTCTTTTCCTCCTTCTCCTCTCTTCCTCCACCTCCTTCTGTTTCTTTGTGTGGTAGTGGGGATTGAACTCAAGGCCTTCACACTAAACTACATACCCAGTTCTTTTTTTTTTGGTACCGGGGATCAAACTTGGGACCTTGCGCTTTCGGGGGCAGCCAGTGGAACCACTGAGCTAAATCCCCAGCCAGCAGACTTTTTTTTTTTTTTTTTTTTTTTTTTTTTTTTTTGAGACAAGGTCTCCCCAAGCCACTAAGTTGCTGGGCTTGAACTTGGGACCCTCCTGCCTCAGCCTCCTGGAGTACTGGAATGATAAGCATGCACCACCATGCCTGGCTATAAATAAGCTTCTTAACTACCTCAGGATTCTACATGCTTTTTTTGAGTATTTATGAATTATTGGTAACAATGTTATTTATTGGTCTAACTTATGAGAGCAGGAAGTGTTGTTAATTATTATGCTGGATCAACAGTAACAAACCAGCTCTTTCCCAGGCAAACTGGGACATACAGTCAATCACCACAGTTCCAGGGATGTTTGTTTTAAAGTCACAAGTACAGATTCCTGAGCCCCAACCCAGAACTACTGAATCAGAACCTCTAGTGTGGAATGTGGGAAGCATTGGTCTCTACGGTGGTATTATTAAATGTTCCTCCAGTTCTAAAATTTTATGTTTAATAGAGGAATTTTGAATATTAGGACATTGTTACTTTTATATGTAATGGTGATTTTATGATTGCATAGAATATGCATAGCTGCATTAGGTGTGATATATCATTTCTGCATCTTCCTTCCAATTGATTCAGGGAATATATATATATATATACACACACAATTAAAGCTAATTGTATACGTGTGTCCACAGTACTATTCTTTGAGCTTTATCTGTGTAATTTCTCTTATTTATTTATTTATTTGGTACCGGGGATCGAACTGGGATCCTTGGCCACAGCAGGCGGCCAAACCACTGAGCTAAATCCCTGGCCCTGTGTAATTTCTCTTAATAAGATGCTGGCAGGAAAAAAGCTATTAGGAAAACTATCTGTGTTATTCTATAGTACAACAGGTGAGAATCAGGTGAGAATATTATTGTTACATACACAACTTATAAGCACTATAACGAAATAAGCGTCAATTCAAGTGATTACTCAAAAAGTCCTGTGATTCTTCTTTGGCTTTTTCCTCTGAAAAGATAAGTGTCAATGCTATTTTTCAGCATTCTAAATGTATAGTAATAAATTACGTTGCACAGGAAGACAGCATTAAACAATCATTGTCAGGGGCATACTGTTTATCGCAAGTGCAAGGTCCTGAGTTCAATCCCCGGTACCACAAAAAAAAAAAAAAAAGCATCCTGTCTATACGTATTGATCTATGCTGCTACATTAATTAGGTGCAAAAATAATCCAGAATATATCTATGCTATTCCTACCCAACATTTGTGAATTTAAATGAACAGAACTGGAATTTTATATGGAAAATGCTACCTATTTGAAAGCAGTTCTCCCCTTTGTTTCAATTTTATTTTTCTCTTTATTTACAATTCTGCTGGTGATTTTGCGCGACGATAATGCATTTTTTAAAAATCAGTCATTAACCTTAATTTGATCCCAAGGACAGTAAAGGTCAGTTTATTATTCGTTGAGCAACTGAATAAGACTGAAGGCACTGCTAGAGACAGATGCATACTTAATTGGGAATATCCACAGAATTGTTTTCTCAACTACAAATATAGCTAGCATTACGCGTAAACTGACGCCGAGACGTGCAGGCTAAGCGCACATAGCGATGGCAGAGATAGGACTATCTGTCATGTAGGAAGGGCATGTCCGCCTTTTCTCAGCTAAAAGTATCTGGGCCTAGGCTGCCCTTTCCTTTCATCCGAACGGCATGATGGCTCCAGAGTCTCACACTCGGGAGGAGACAGTTCCCTTACCTAGGAGGGTGGCACCTGCTCCGCAAGAGCGCAAGACTTTCTAAGCAGTGAGCCGCCGCACCCAACTTCCCAGTTGCTATGTTTAGTTGCTAAGGCGCCGATGGTCTCGCAGGAAGAGCGGTGCGGTGCACTCCCTTTTAGCGTCGTACCAAAACCTCTCTGTTCTCGGCGCATTGGTTCCGGGAGGGAAACTCGGCAGTTTAATCTAGGGGAAGGCTGGGAGAAACTGGCAGCGACGCCTCCGAGGCGCGGAGGATTGTGGGAGGAGGTCGTCTCCGATTTCCCCTCCCCCTCCCCCTCCCGGCCAAGATGTCTGACATGGAGGATGATTTCATGTGCGATGATGAGGAGGACTACGACCTGGTGAGGCTTCCGGGGACGGAACTGTGGGGCTGGAGATGGTGTCTGGCTTTCGGGACCCAAGCTGAGTGGGCCGCGGCCCCTCGGCGTGGGCGTGCGGCCCTCCAGCGTCCCCGGGGCAGTGACAGGACGGCTCTGCCTGCTCGGCTTCCCGCACGGCCGGGCCCGCGCCTCGGCTGGGGGGGGGGGGAGGCGGTGGCCTCAGAGCGCAGGTAGCGGGAAAGAGGTGGACTCACGACCCGTTCAGTCCTCCGAGAGAAAAGCTTTTTGTTATCGTTGCTCTTGGGGGCCACGAAGGGGCTGAACCAATGGCTTTTCTACGATCTAAGAGATTTTCCAGTATGCAAAGTTTAAAACAATAGCATAGAAATAAATGAGTGTACCCACTAAGGTTCAAGGTTTAGTATAAGAATGGATTTATATGCTTAAAAAGCTTAACCCACGTTTCTGGTTGCTATTCAGAAACACCTGTGGGTACTAAGAAAAATTATCTTGCCCCAGAATTAGCGTCAGGTTTCTTTATTTGGGGGGTGTTTTGTTTAGTTCTTGTATGTGATGGGGGTAATGCTGCCGTTATGGGAAAGTTGTGTAGTAGATGTTTGGGGAAATTTGCTCCTCTTTTATTTTTATTTTACCGGCCAGAGCAGAGAGTCTCAAGCTACTGTATTAATATATTTTGAGTTAGTATGTAAGTTGGTTGTATCGGAGAATCCATAAGTAATTTCTCGTTTTTTACATTCTTTAAAGAAGGCACATTTTGTAAAAAGGGGGTGAGGAAATGCTTGCTGCTACTCAGAAGTCATAATAGAGATTTGTAAGTTTTGAAGTTAAATGTGGGTTCCGTCTAACTTAATTTTTGAAGACTAAGCCACTTGTAGGCAATACTTTCAGTTAAAAATGTGTTACTTGTGGTATCTAGGCATTTTTATTACATGTTTACATTATAGGTGATGAAGTGTTTCTTGAAAATGTGTTTGTAGCTTTAGTTGGTGTTTTAAAATATTTCTACCCATCTCTTTAAGCAATAGTCTTATTAATACACAATTTATTAGCACTATGATTAACTTGAAAGTGTTCATTAAAACTGCAGAGTAGGGCACTGAGAATCTTTGTTGTGCCTTGAAATACACAATAATTTTTGTAAAAATTTTAGTTAAATATGTTTTAAGTGGCTAAGTTCCTCCTGCCTTCTTTGTACCTATCCTACATGCATAGTATAATAAAGCTGAATATATGGTTGTTTTAGCTTTGAAAAAAAAATTACGAGTTTGGATTACTACATAATTAAATGAAGTTTTGGGTGTTTCCCTTCCTCAGTATTCTGTTTAATACCTCTTCCTCTCCCTTGTCTTTCTCTCATGTAGATTCAGTCCAGATTCATAATCATGTCAACTAGTAGAAGCTGTTATACTTAACAGTTAAAACTTTTAGTTGAGGGCCAGGGATTTAGCTCAGTGGTTTTGCCGCCTGCTATGCAAGTGCAAGGACCTGAGTTCGATCCCCCGTACCAAAAAAAAAAAAATTTTTAGTTGAATAAAGTTTCTTTAGTAATTTATTCTTCACTTTCTAGTAAATTTCCTTCAATCATTCTGTGTTTTAGAAATAAAAGATTAAGGGTCACCATTTCATGTTGACAGTAATAATAATTTTGCCTGGATCCTTTTTTCGGTTTCTTCATATTCAGAAAGTCTTCAGAATTGACTTGCTACCTTATGGAGATTGCTTTAAAAATGTATTGTTTGGGCCAGGGATTTAGCTCGGTGGTTCCGCCACCTGCCTTGCCAAGTGCAAGGTCCCGAGTTTGATCACCGGTACCAAAAAATAAAAATAAAAATGTATTGTTTGCTGGAAAACTCTCACTTCATTTTAGTTAAAATATTGACTATGCTATGAATGTTTGTGATCACAGTGATGATCAGCATATTTTATAGTTATCCATTGATAATCTTTTTTTTTGAGACAAGGTCTCACTCTGTGATTCAGGCTGGCCTTGAACTCACTATGTAGACCAGGCAGACCTCAAACTCACAGCAGTCCTCCTGTGTCAACCTCCAGAGTACTAGGATTACAGGGATGCACCACCACAGCCGGCACCACTGATAAATTTTAGCATCCTAAGTCCCTTTTTTTTTTTTCTCGTCCAATCTATTGGAAATAGGTAGTTAAGATCTTGTTTGAAGGATTAAAAATCCGTTTCTCTACTGTTTTTATCCAAGAAAGTAAATGATTAATACCCAAGATCTAAAAGAAAAATCAACACTCCTGGTTGAAAAGAAGAAACAAAGACAGAAGAAATACAATATACTTGACCTCTTATTTCTAAGATCTTTTTGAATTTTATTGTAGGCAAAACCAGGCATTTTCTAAGGATAGAAACATGTGACAGGGAATGTAGAAGTAGGAGATGGTACATGTAAATGCCTTTTAATCTAGTGTGAATGTTACAGATTTATAGGTTATTTGCTGATCTAATACAACGTAGTAACTGTACCACCATTAAGTCAGTAAGGCAGTTGATAAGTTATCTGTTGTAATTAAACAAGCCATGGTAACGTGAAGCAACTTTGTACTTACAATATTTTTAGAAAAGATTTAAGACAGACTAACTTCATACCAAAAATGATTCTTTATGTGTTCACTTGGGCAGCACATATACCGAAAAAGTTATTCTTTAGTAAGACCTTTTATATGGGCAGGATATTCTTTATTTGAATAGTTACATTTTACTACTTTTGTCTGCTTTTTGGAGGGGAGATGGGAAGTGAGCCTTACCTACAGGAAATGTTACAGAAGCTCTTGTCGCTGGCGTAATGAGGGCCATCACCAGAGCTCTGCACACAGTGAACACGTAGCCACTGTACATGTCAAATTTAAAATACCTGCTGCGCAAGCGCAAGGACCCGAGTTCGATCCCCGGTACCAAAAAAAAAAAAAAAAAAAAAACCTATGTCTAGGGCTGGGAATTTAACTCAGTGGTTCCACCACCTGCTTCGCAACCATAAAGTCCCGAATTCGATCCCCAGTACCAAAAAAAAAAAAAAAAAAAAAAAAGAAACAAATAAAATACCTATGACTGGGCTGGGAATTCAGCCCAGTGGTTCTGCCGCCTGCCTCACAAGCGCAAGGTCCCGAGTTCGATCCCAGGTACCAAAAAAAAAAATTGTCTGTGCTACCCCAATTTATTTAGATGGGAAAAGTATTGGGAAAATGTCCTGAAATAAATTATTGCTGACTTTAATTTTTATAAGTTGTTTATTTCTTGCAAACTTATGTACTTTCTTGCTGGGAGCGGATGCAAATGATGCAAGGTAAAAATGATAAAGAAAAGAGTATTTGGGTCTTAGGAAGCCAAATGGTAATTCTGTTGCTGCTCAAGTTTTAGGGTTACTCTTAGGGGCTTGAAGCATGTCTAACTGAGCTTTTTAAAATAAGTAATACAATAAAATAGAATAAGTAATACAGGGCCGGGGATTTAGCTCAGTGGTTTCTCTGCCTGCTGCACAAGCGCAAGGACCTGAGTTCGATCCCCGGTACCAAATAAATGAATAAAATAAAATGAGTAATACATACACATTATTTATCAGAAAATGTACATACATACATTAAAATTTCCTTTCCACTTGTTCCTCAAGTTCCCCCATTAAGTAATCAAATATACATCTTTATCCCTCTCATTTTTTTACCGCCATATAGTATTTTATTTATATAATGTTGTACACATTGCTTTTTAATTTATCTTAGAGATTACAGAGAAGTGTCCAAGAGCATAAGGTGGGCCATTAAACTGGATGGTGCTGTTTTTGGTTAAAAATACCTGACTTCTATTAAAAGTTTTCTTGAGAATTTCAGAAGCATTACTATAATCCTTGTCAGTATCATTGGAATAATGATGCTACCTTTTAAAGCTACTAGCTGAAAGAAAAACTTTTGATTTGGATTGTATGCTTTGATGAACTTTCAAAAAGGCCTGGTGGTTATGTCATTGGCATGGTTATATAATGAAATTAGTGTGTTTTAAACCGGGATAACCTAAGTAAGTTATGGGAAACACCTCCTACATCCTAAGAGTGAAGTAAAGTTATATAAATGTAAGTAACAAATTTAATCATTATTTTATAAGCATAAATAAATTTAATAAAATAAATTTGAAACTTTTCATAGTGACTTAAATCTATAAACTGAAAATCCAACAAAGTATGTACTTGTGCATTACTTCCTGGGATGGATGTGTGGACCTCAGTGGGAGATAGAAACTTCGCATGGATTTCAACCCCGAAATCTGACAGGCGACAAGCAGGGCAAATCTGTGGGAGAGTCAGAACTGGGCCTGAAAAAGAGTCTGATGACTGTTACGACATCTCGTTGGAAAATTTGATTGGAAGACTGAAAGTTTAGGACAAATAAAAGAGCATTCTGATATTACACTGTAGATAACAAATTAGGACCCATTACTGTAACTTGAATGAATTTTTTAAAGTTTGGATAACTTTATGAATAAGCCACAATAGCAACTTAGGATTTGTGTTATTTATAGTGCCTAGTGTCTTGTAAAGCCTCTAGAGGTGCTGAAGTCTCTTGGAACCATTGTTAATGATGAGTGTTCCATTCTTAAAGTATATTTCTTAGGACCTGAATTGACAAGAAATACAAGTGAGTAGAGGACTTATAGAACTAACCCTGCTCAGCAGGGGCTGCATTCCAGCATGTAGTCAGAATTGACCCCGGCTGTTTTATGTTGTTGTTTTGGATATTAACCCATTTATCCTTTCAATTAAACATCCGTTCAGCATTCTGAAATGTCCCATGCTCTAGGAATGCAAAATATGAGTAAGAAAATTCTTGCTTTTAAGAAATTGACAGCGTTATGAGAGAGGAGTGGAAACAACATCCACAAAACAAAACCCTATGTTAAATATATGCCATATAGAGACATGATTGGCTAGAAAAATTGAGTTTGCTAAGAAGAGTTGGAGGCTCACAAAGGTAAGCCTTTAATGAATCCACCCCGCAGGAGTGTCAGGGCCAGGGAGTACCACGGGAGAGAAGCAGGAAGGTGTTTCGAAGGGATGTGATTTAGAATTCCTAGCAGAAAAACTAGTTTGTGCCAAAGTAGAGATCTAAAATTACATAGCATATTTGAGGAAAGGAGAATAGACGGATGTGGATGGATCACAAATTGTTTTGGGGAGATGTCAGGACCTGAGTTATTATATAACTAGGTTAAAACTATTACTAAACTTTATTTAGGTTTTAATCCCTTTTACGGTGTTCAAGTGCTTGCTTATTTTACATATATTGCTTAAATTATTTGTTTTTTGAAGCATTATTCATATATTGATTTAAAATTTCAGTTTCTTTCCTATCTAAAACATTTTACTTAAACTTTACAAATTGTTATCCAATTGATACGAGTTTATGCAATTTAGCAATACTAAGATGTTTCTTCCATATTCCCTGTTTTTTTCTATATTCCATTTTGATTAATGGCACCTTATGTTACTAGTCCACTAGTATTTATTATAGGTAACTTTATATTCCTTCATCTTGTGCCCGTACGATAGGTCTGTTTTATTCTACACCCTTGACGTCATTTAATATCTTCTGTTTTTTAGTTTGAGACTTTTCCTTTCACCTCCTGATACTTAGAATGAGGCCTCTACTGCCTATCTTTGTGTGGTGTTGTGTTGTGCTGTGTGCTTTTAAAGGCAGGGTCTGTGTGTGTGGTTCAGGCTGACTTCGAACCCTGGGGCCCGTGCCGGCCTTGCGTTCACTCGGACTTCCCGCCCCAGCCTCCGCGGTGCTCAGGTCCCAGGCCAGTGCCACCAGGCCCAGCAGACCTGGCCTTACTCTTGTTGCCAGAGACCTCTTCCTAAAACACAAAACTGACTATTTCCTTGTAAAATCTTTGCTTTGTAGCTTTCCCTTGGATCTTAGCTCCTCGCAAGTCTTATGTTGTCCTGTTCCTCTGCCCGATACCAGTTCGTCTCCAACTCTGTACATGTGTCCTGTGCTTCACCCAAATTACTCATGAGCCTTCCACACGTGTAATACTGTATCATGCTTCCTTGCCTTTGCACATGCTGTCTGCTTTATTTCAGCTGCCCTTCTTTGTCACTGGCAACTCCTATTTGTACTTAGGAGTATGTTCACATCTGCGTTGCATATCTGTCTCTTAATAGGCCCTGAGTGCTTTCATAGATCTGGAGGGGAAGACTGTTCATTTGCATTTCTGTGCACAGTGCTCAGTTGCTGGCATAAGTAGTTCTGTTATATAATGACATCTGGGTCAGTGATAAACTGCATATGTGACAGGGCATCCATAAAGTATACCCCCTAGTGATGTAGTTAATATCTGTCTTCATTTGTACATGTCCAATTCATGATGTTCACAAAATGAGGAAGTTGTCTAATGACACATTCAGAATGTGTCCCCATTGTTAAGACGCAGATAATAAAAGTATTTAAACAGTAGAATAGTTCTTCTAAAGACTTTTTACATACCATCAGTTCTTTACATAATGCCTGTATAATAACTGAAGAAAAATTTGCTGTCTACACAGATTGTGTTGATCATCTGACTGACTGAACTGCAAAAGACAGCATAGTGGGGTGAGCGTGGTGTACCAGACCATAATGGGGACAGCCTTTCATAAGGCAGTTGGTAGCGCATCAGTTGTGGCAACTGTACACGTTAGTGGAGACATCTAATAGTTCAGTTTCACTTATGCAAAAAAAATACTTTATTCTTAAATAATATGACAAACCAAAAAGGTAGTGTTGAGGACTAGATTGAGTCCTTGTGATTTTTGGAGAGTTATACTACTTAGGATTGAGCAGTCTCATTATTGTGCGATCTGTCAGACCCCAGAAGTTGGAGGGAACTGGTCTTGTACACCATCTGTGGTACCCTGGTACTCCCCATGAATTGGTTCCCGGAGGTGCAGCGGTCGCCGAGTACCACACATTGTTTTGGCTGGAAAGGGCAGTCAACACCAGTGGTGAGTGTGGGACAAATCTCACACCAAAACGCATCCAGTACTAAATTCGAGTTTCAAGCAGCACCAAGGTATGACTGCAGCTGGTATTAGTGAGTAGATGAGAAGGCATGGTATGAGACATGGCAGGAAATGTAAAGGATCCTGTTTTCAACAATATTATAATTGGTTTGCTAAGTTCCAGCCCTTCAATTCATAGAATACTTTCAGTTTCCCTTTTGCTGGGAAACTTTGTAATTGGAATCCTGTTGCTGCTATGTGTACCTCTCGACTTCTTTTCTCTTCCCACACCCTGGCCTAGTTGGTTTTTTCTAATCTACTTTGAGCCAAGACACCAGAATTAAATGGACTTTGAATGACAGTCTAAATGCTTAGGCTTCATGATAAATGTAAATCAGAAATATTTTTCATTCACTTCCAGGTTCAGGGCTGCATTCTGAAGGTTTGGGTTGCAGAGACGTGATTTCTAGTTCAGCAAGCTATTTCTGTGTTTTATTAACAATATTTAATGAGGCTTTCAAAATGTCTTTGCTATAACTTAGATATAAGGATCTGGAAATGTTTATGTTTGTTCCAAGTTAGTAAGACAGAGAACTGATTTCCAAAAGGGTGAGTAGGTTTCATAGTCTTCCATGAGGAGAGATGGCCCTTCTGCTGAGATCTGGAATGCTGTGCCCTGGTGAGCCAGGTGGAGAGAGGGAAAGAGAAGGCAGCACCCTGTCTCCAAGTGAGGGAAGGCAGCATGGCTGAGGCAGAGTGGGTGAGGGGAGCATGTTAGGAGACAAGGCTGAACTCCTGGGAGCCAGGTCTTTATGATTTTGAACTCAATTTTGAGTAATGGAACGCCACTTTTGAGGAGAGGAGATAACTTAGATTTCATAAAGATTATTGTGGCTGATTACCATGAAAAGATTGGAACTTGAAGCTTAAAAAGCAGAATGTGAAGGCTGCTGAAGTCCGTGGAGAGATGGAGGTGGCCCGGTAGGAAAGCATGTGGGGGGGGCTAAGGATGAGGTGGATGGAGTGGAGGCGTGTTTTAAAGGTGGCTAGTAAGGAGCTTTCGTGTTCCCACAGCATAACTGCTTTTACTTCTTCACTTGCTTGCCATTGTTTGTGCATTGAGTTGAGTGTGTGGTTCTCCGTGCACTCTCTTTTGGCACATTTATCTTTGAAAACTGAGCTTCAAATCCCTCACTACTATAGATAGCATCAGTAGTCACTGTGTATAAAGATGAATTATTGTTGTTTTGTAGTTTTATCAGTTTCAAACCTGGATTACAAGGGTTAAGAAGTAAGGCCGGGCATGGTGGTGCACACCTGTAATCCTAGCACTTGGGAGGCTGAGGCAAGAGGATCTCTGGAAGTTCGAGGCCAGCCTGGGCTACACAGTGAGGACCCCCACCCCCCACCCCAAACAAACAAGGGTTAAGAAGTGAATGAGTCATTACTCACAGTTTGATCTTGTCCCTAAAGAAGTGTTCCACAGATTTTCATGTTAAAGATAATGAATGCCAGGTCCTAAGTCTAGGACTCAGGCCACTCCTGTCCTCACACAAAGGAATGATTTCCCTCCAGAGGGCACACATTACAAAGCCACTGTTTGGATTATTGAAAAAGTCATCTTGTGTTGGTGTATTTTGAACTTTCTAAATAAACACTTCCTATGCTCAGTGTGACTTTCTTCACTCTTCTGCCTTTATGAGACCTTATAGAATTTTCTATAAATATCTCTTGGGAAGAAGTTAACTGTATTTGGATTGGATTTAGAAATAACTTGTGATACTGTTCTCTTGTATCTCCCCTCCTAACCCAGTATTATTCTTAATTTGACACAAATGCACCCCTTTGTAAAGGCTTATAGCTGAGGAGGAAATAATCTTTATCTGGTGGCTTCCTAAAGTAATTTTCATTATGCCACAATCTATGTGTATTTTGTAATCACTAATAAATTGACTATTTAAACTATTTAAAAGTTATACTGCTCCACATTCATAGTTGTTTTATCTCAATTTTCCCTTTACTGTTTTTCACTAAAAACTGAATTTATATGATGGGAAAATCTCGTAAAATTATGTAAATTCATTTGTTGTAAAGTTATATTCCATTAATATAAACAGCTATTGTTATCTGAAATGTGCATAAAATCAATAGTCTTATTAACGTGCAATTACTTTTAGCATTAGAGTTACCACCCTAATGAGTTAGGCCTTGTTAGACTAATGAAATTTTAAATTAAGGTGTAGAAAAAATTGCATAATAGAATGAATAAATGGTTAATAATTGCATCACATTTACATTAGATTTTTCTCATGGCTTCAGTGACGGAGAAAAGGCTAACTAACCACTGTCAAACTGGAGATCATTAACTCGTACTGTAGTTTGTATTTTACCTGTGTGTTCAGAGTTGTTTTGTTTTTGTGTAAATGTATGGTTTCCCATCCCTACTGGATTGATTTCACAGTGCAATGTGTGGGTTTATTTTTTTCTCACTTAATGTTTCTTTCTAACATGCAGGAATACTCTGAAGACAGTAATTCTGAGCCAAATGTGGATTTGGAAAATCAGTACTACAATTCCAAAGCGCTAAAAGAAGATGACCCAAAAGCAGCTTTAAGCAGCTTCCAAAAGGTTTATTTTTTTCAGTTGATTTTGTGCCTTAAAGTTTATATTTTTAATGATGTATCAAACCAAACTAAGCCCAGAGTGATCTTCTCTCAGAAATGTGTTTGGAATAATTAGTGATGATCCTGTAAGGTTTTACTCTGCAGCATGAGCATACGTTTGTAAGGCTGATGTTTTTTCCAGTCAGACATCCTTCACAGTAGCACACTCACATGCTGACAGGAGAACCAATGTAATGGTCGATATGCGTTATATTTCCTTTTGGGGCAGGTTACACTGATTTCTTAATTTAGGATATATTTTTGGATTGTTCTTACCTGGCAGACAGGACTAGGTACTGGCTATTGGAGTGAAGTAGTAATGCTTAATCTTTTGGTTAAAGAACTTCAAAATAAGCTCATTTATCCCTAAAAAATGTATTTTAAGACTTGTTGTTTTTAAACTTTATTTTTAAAAACCCTAAGAAGTGGTGGAATTATTGGGGAAATTCTTTATGAATATGAGGTTAAATTAAAAACTTAGGAAAAAAAATTAAAACTTAGACACTGTTGTCATTAGAAAATAAATGTGTTAATATTAAACTAAAATTTTTTCCCCTTTTTAGGTTTTGGAACTTGAAGGTGAAAAAGGAGAATGGGGATTTAAAGCACTGAAACAAATGATTAAAATTAATTTCAAGTTGGTAAGATTTATTTTGAGGAGAAGTACAATAGTAATGAGAGAATTCTGTGGGTTTAAAATCTCATTGCAACAAAATGCTATTATATCTACTTCTCTACAGTAGTTCTATTGATGTTTCCATTTTATTCAGTGTTGTAGTTAGGACTACAATTCTACTGATTTTTAAAAATTGTATGAGCTGTCCAAATTTTCTTTTAAGAAATTATTTGCTGTATTTAAATTAATGACCTGGAAGGTTATGAAAAATGTAAAGGACAGAAATTCTTTTTTTTGGTACCAGGGATGGAACTCAGGACCTTGCGCCTGCAAGGAGGCAGTGGAACCACTGAGCTAAATCCCCGGCCCCAGAAATTCTTGATTAAATGATCTTAGTGACATTAGCGGTTCACTATTCAATGCTTAAGTTTCTATGAATTGACGCACCAAGAGTTCCTATAAAAATCTAGCTTGGCCAGATATCATGAGTCACATCTATAATGCCAGCACTCTGGGAGTCTGAGGCAGTAAGATCACAGGGTCAAGGCCAGCCTGGGCAACTTAGTGATTCAGCAAGGCCTTTTCTCAAAAATAAAAGGGCTGGCCAGGGATTTAGTTCAGTGGTTTCACCACCTGCTGTGCAAGCGCAAGGACCTGAGTTTGATCCCCAGTACCAAAAAATAAAAGGGCTGGGTGTGTAACTCAGTGCACAGGCCCTGGGTTCAATCCTTAGTACCAAAAAAATTTTATCTTAACTACCAGGACTGGTTTAGTTCTTTAGTCCATTTAAACAGTATGCTGCCTTAAGACTTGGTATGTTAACTTTCCATTACTGTGATAAAACACCTGAGAGAATCACCTAAAAGGAAGAAAAGTTTATTTTGGCTCACAATTTCCGGGGTGTCCGTCCATCATCAGTTAACTCTGGCCAGGCAGAACATCCTGGCGGAAGCATGTGATGGAGCAAACTGCTCACTGGAGGGCAGCCAGGAAGCAAGAAAGAGAACAGAAGAGGCTGAGGTCCCTGTGTCCCATTGAGGGGCACGTCCTCAGGGAGCGAGCTTCCTTAAAAGGGCCCCGTCCCCTGACCAGTCCCCCCAGCTCCCATGGACATCTCCAGCTGGGCACCAAGCACTTGGCTTGGCCATTTTACCCTGAACAGAGATGGGAAGGGAAAGGGTTGTTTGGGTTTTGTGTTGTTTCATCTACTTTCGTTATCTTTTTGTTGGCTCAAGAGTTGTTTCAGCTTCTATTCTTTCCCTCTCATTTTCTAGTTGGATTCAGAATAGGACTTATCACTATGTTGTTGTTTTAGGCAATAGAAAATTAGAAGGGTTCATTATCAACTGCTCTATGTATTCACCATTGCAGATAAAACCAGTTTGCCTAGGGCTGGGGATTTAGCCCAGTGGTTCTGCCGACCCAAGTTTGATCCCGGTACCAAAAAAAAAACCAGTTTGCCTAATTTCTCTCAATCTCTAATTCAATAACATAATTTTTGAAAAATGAGTTTTAATGTATAGCATAGAGAGATCAATTCAGAACTATTAAGTTTTTGCTAAAAATGTTATTCTGTACCAAGATACAGATGAGTTAGGCAGTCATTATCTCATCTCCTTCTACTTGTAAGATGTGCTCTGTACCTTGAGTTTTGGCAACTCATGTTACTTGTTTGTTCTCCTGGGAAACCTGTATTTTTAGGGACAAAAATAGTTTGAAATATGTAGCTATCTATCATTTGTTAATTCCTCACCCTAATAAACACACGTGGTCAGTTAGTTGAGTAAAAAAGCATTTCTACCTGCCAGAGCTCCATCTCACTGACTCAAAGACAAGAGCTCAGCAAAAGGAGGGCTGCTAGCAATGAGAGCTGTGGGTACCAGGTACAGGTCTAAGGTTAGGCTCAAACTGGCTTACCTGACACGCAGGAATGATGAGCCTCCTCCCCAGTAGTCAACTGCCCAACATTTCACTGCTGCTCTTTCTTTCTTCAGGTCTTTCATGTTTCCAGAATAACCCACAGTGGTGTAAAGAGTAATGCAGGGAATTGCAGCACTACCACTGGAATTGAGTAGATTCTCACGTGGCAGGACTCAACATGAGATGCCCCTGGGCCTGAAGACATTCTTCCACTTCACGTGTTTATGTAGAGCCAGCTAGTTTTGTGCAGAAAATATGTAACTCTTGCTGGAGAGTTTCCTAGTGAAGGGGTAAATCTTTAGGGAAGGATGTCACTGATAATCTGGATAGCTGGTACCTGAGACACGTGAAAATTGAATTTTATTTACATCTTTTGGTCTGTGAATATATTAGTAGTTTTTATGATTGAAGTAAATGTGTTGTGCAGTGAAGAATAATATCCAAACTGGAAAATACAGAAGTGCACTTGTGTTGTAGACTAACTTCATAAATATAGTTTGTATATCTGAGTAATTTAGTCATTTCAGATTTAAGGTAACATGTCTGCAGTATTCCTGCCATGTGTAGTTCCTCTTTTTATAAAAGTACGTTGTAAGGCCCCGGGGTTGTAGCTCAGTGGTGCCGCCGCCTGCCTCCCAAGCGCAAGGTCCTGAGTTCAATCCCTGGTACCTAAATAAATAAATAATAAAAGTGAATTACACAAACTATGTTGCAATTTGGTAGTAGTATATACTGTACCTTAATCATGTGTGCATATTTTAATGAATAATATGTATTTAATGGTTTCTTCTTCCCTCACAGACAAACTTTCCAGAAATGATGAATAGGTATAAACAACTTTTGACCTATATTCGGAGTGCAGTCACGAGAAATTATTCTGAAAAATCCATTAATTCTATTCTTGATTATATCTCCACTTCTAAACAGGTTAGACTCAGTTTTTTCCTCTTGGTACTGTTAGTGTAGTATCTACTGGTTATACAGGGTAATGGGTGAATGGGTGTCACATGCTTTGGTCATCTCCATTCTGCCCCACCCCACCCGCGTGCCCCCGCCCTGTGAAGAACTTTGTACCTCAGAAGAAAAGACCTGGACGTTCTATTAAAGCAACTATGGTAGTCATTAGTGTGCTTCAAAATAATGCAGTGTACAGTTTTCTTAATGGTAGTACTAATGATATAATATGAAGAGGTAATAAAACTCCAGCTAATCTCTTAAAATTTTATCTTGAGATGCTAAAATAATCTGCAGACAACTTCTGTAGACTTACATGTAGACTCCCATAGACTTCCACTCCTGGCTCCTTTTATTTTGTTTTGCTTTGATTTTTCTGCAGCACAGGAGATCATGCCTAGGGCCTCTTGCATGCTAGGCAAGCACACTACCACTGTGCTGTGCCCCTAAATCTCATAATTCCTTCTGACACACTGCACTTCCACTTTGCCTAGCCATCATGGGGGTTTGTACCGAGCATTGAACCACAAGTGACTCCTGTGGTTTTGATGAGGTGAAGGTCCTTGAGCAGATTGTGTAGTCCTCTCAGTTCTTAGTTTCACTCAGTGAATGCCCCTACGAAGGATGGGGTGATGATGTTGAGAAAGGAAGGGCTGACAATGAAAGAAACTGAGGTGACACTAGGAGTAATAGTGCTTTCGTTGTTTTAGTTTTGGGTCATTAAGAAAAGCAGTGAAGGGCCAGGGATTTAGCTCAGTGGTTTTGCCACCTGCTGCTCAAGCGCAAGGATAAAAAACATAGTCCCAAGTTTTAGCTTTCCTACTCTTGAGCACAAGATGTACTGTATCACTTAGCATTTTTTACAAAGCTTTTTTTTTTTTTTTTTTGGTACTGAGGATCAAACTCGGGACCTTGCACTTGCGTGGCAGGCGCCAGAACCACTGAGCTAAATCCCCGGCCCTCACTTAGCATTTTTTAGAACATTTGATACTCCTAGTAAAAGTGTTCTCATAAACAGCCTCTCATTTCCTGGCTTTCTAATAGGTGTCATTTTTTTATTTCTTGAAGTAGTTTATTTCTGTTCTTCATATTGAAAACATCAGGTGGCTTTTTAATGTCAGTTGGGAATAAAGAAGGTAAACTTAGATGTTTTGTTGGAGCATTAGCTCTTAGTTCTAGAAATAAGTTCTATATTGTGGGGCTTTTCTTAAGTGGCAAAATGTTTTCCAGGTCTCACAAACAGGCATCATCAAAACATTTTTCCACCATTTATAAATGCTGTGCCACATGTTGAAGGAGGGGAATAAAGTCATTTTAAAACTTGAAGATTACATACTTCTCTGTGCTATTATATGTAAAGTGTTAGCCTTCTGAAAGTAAGAATAGATGGAAGGTGGGTGTCACTCTGACTTACCCCATAAGACATCAGCAGTCGTGAAGAAAGAGCCAGCCTTTCCTGGAAGCATCAGACCGCCCTAAGCACAGGCTCCTCTTTCCCTGTGATCTCATTAAGCAGAGATTGAAAGAACCAGATATTCAGAGGCAGAGCCAGAAGTAGACAAGCAAGGTGAGCAGAGGAGCTTTTCGCAGTATGAAACGAATAGTGATTTCCATGGAAAAGTCACACTGGGATTAGTGAATTGGTGATTGAACACAACCAAAAATAACTAGACTTTTCTTTCCATCTGGCTCCAGGGTTTACTGGTGGCTTAAAAGCTATGAAGTCCAGCTGGGGATTTAGCTCAGTGGTTTCGCTGCCTGCTGTGCAAGTGCAAGGACCCAAGTTCGATCCCTGGTACCAAAAAAAAACAAGCTATGAAGTCCAATAAATTAGTTACCTTTTGACAGAAAAAGTTTGAGGAAAGTAGCTTATTCCTTATGTCTCCAGCACATTGCTCATTGTTTGCCACATAGTAGGTACCAGTTAAGGGATGAGTTTATAAGGTATACACTGTTAGAAGCAGCACAGCCCATCATTTACTTCTGTTAAAGTAAAATGAGTTTTTGGACTGGGAAGGACAGGCGGATATATATTATTACAGCATAAGAATTTATGACGATATACTTCATGTAGGAAAATGTTTTATGGGTTTTATAAAACAAACATGCAAACAGATCTTGCCACGTGTAAGTTTAATCTGTGTTAATTAATCTTTTGAACTGTAGAAGAGATTTGGTAAGATACAAATAGTGTATCTTAAGTGTATTAAAGTTCAAAGATGCACTTTTAGTTTGTTCAAATTAACTTTATTAACAGGTCCAAATTTGCTGTTTACAATTATAGAATTCTGATTTTTTATGTCAGATGGATTTACTGCAGGAATTCTATGAAACAACACTGGAAGCTTTGAAAGATGCTAAGAATGACAGGCTGTGGTTTAAGACAAACACAAAGGTAACAGCTGCATTTTTTTCCTCTTAGAGAGTGGGTGGGTTTCCTTAATAAACTATTTCCTAAGCATACACACCTTTTCCTGGTGAAATCTGTTTTGACTGTAATAAGTTTGCTTTTTTACAGCTTGGAAAATTATATTTAGAACGAGAGGAATATGGAAAGCTTCAAAAAATTTTACGCCAGTTACATCAGTCCTGCCAGGTAACGTTCCCGTCTTGCTATTTATTTAAAAAGAAAAGAATGTGAAATACATTTGAAATATAGTCTGGAAGTGTTTTTGTTCAAGCATTATCCCAAAAATAAAACTTGAGAAATAAGTTTGTAAAATACTAATTTTTTCTGAGTATCACATTTCTTCTTAGTGCTAATTTCCATTCTCATCCTTTGTGGAATGAGTTGTGGCTATTTAATAAACAGGTGAGACATGATACTTAGTACAAATAAGCCTTGGTATTTAGTTGTTCACACTAAGAAAATAGAGCAAGAATGTTATAAACATGTACAGTAAGGATATTTTATATTCTAACTAATGAATCCCATGGCAGCACTGTCCAGTAGACCTAACATCCACTGTATCTATGCTGTCCAGTGGGATAGCTCTAGCTCCGTGTAAGCACAAGCATGTGAAATGTGGCTAGTGTGGTGGGGATACTGAGTTTTTAATTGTATATAATTAATTTAAATTTGAATAGCAATATGGTCAGGAAAGCATAACTTTTTTTTTTTTTTGGTACCGGGGATCAAACTTGAGACCTTACCCTTGTGAGGCAGGCGGCAGAACCACTGAGCTAAATCCCCGGCCCCCCACAACTCTTTTAACCAGGCTCTTAATTTATATTTGATTTTATCCTCAAATAAATAGTTTGTTATTAAAATTTATATAGAAATACTATTTGAAATATTTTTAGCCCTTTAATGCTAAATTCTAGTGATGTGTATGTCATTTTGTGAGTGGGAGAAAGGATCCAGAAACTGAATTTTAATTTATTAATTTTGCTTTAGTAGTTTTGTTATCTACGTTTTCTTCAGTCTGATAAATGAATAGCCATGGGTTCAGTTCCATGTGACACAGAAATGGTAGAGAAATCATTTTTGAATGGAGAAGGGACTTTCAAACCTCTGGATAAGTTTTCCCTGATATCTTTAGGAAAACAGGAAAAATACTATCTGGATAGTAAATTGCATTTGGTGTAGTACTTAGTATTTTGATGGAGTTATGTTGAGACGTATTACAATCTGGATATTTTTACTCTGGTTATGACTCATTAGTGAATAAACAGAATTTTAAGTTAAAAGACTCAGTAAACAATAAATTTTGATTTAGTTTATGTCAGTGTTTGGTTATGTTTGTCTGACTCTAGACCATAATGCTATTTTTTATGCCTCACATTTTGTGGGCTGTTGGTCATCTTTTAATGTCAAGTTTAGATGCCACCACATTTGTGATTCCTTTTACATCCCCTGGGGGGTTAGTTCCTTTCTCTTCTGTTCTCATAGTGGAAGCATTGGTTTATGCTTCAGTTGGAATCATCGTCGTTTATGTTGAAATTTGCTAACACATGAGACTTATACTAGATTGTGAAATTTTTTGAGATGAGGAACTGTAGCTTATTTAACTTAGTATTTCCCTAGAGGCCCTTAGGAAATGATTGAATAAGTGAATCTAAAACAATTAGGGAATAAAAATAAGTGAATCTGTGACAATTTGGGGAAGACCATACATAAATCTCCTACTTAAAAACATAAACAACAAAACATTTTAGACCTACAAAATAGTCCAGCCATGTTTTTCTTATTCGTTAACTAGAAAGAAAAGGATGCCTATATATTGGCCATTAAAAGCAGTGTGAGTGGGCCAGAGACTTAGCTCTGTGGTTCCACCGCCTGCCTCGAAAGCACATGGACCCGACTTCGATCTCTGGTACCAAAAAAAAAAAACGCAGTGTGAGTGAGCTAGTTCCCAATTAAAATTTTAGTGCATTTTCACACAGAAGTGGTATTATAAATATAAGGTTCCCAGACCAATTCGAATAAAAATGACCAGGTTGTCTCTAAATTCTCTTTCCTAACTAAAGTATTTGCTTTCCTAGACTGATGATGGAGAAGATGACCTGAAAAAAGGTACACAGTTACTAGAAATATATGCCTTGGAAATTCAAATGTACACAGCACAGAAAAATAACAAAAAACTGAAAGCGCTCTATGAGCAATCGCTTCACATCAAGTCCGCCATCCCGCACCCGCTGATCATGGGCGTCATCAGAGGCAAGTGGGCTGTGGAGAGAGTGGGCAGTGGCACAGGGAGGCAGCAGGTGCGCTTCATCTGGCTCAGCGACACCGAGTGCCTCGTTTTACAGTGTGGAAGTTGGCGAAGTGGCCACCTTAGAGAAAAAGTAGGGTCCATTTGTGTCTTGTGAAAGTTTCGCAGTAAAGATGTTTTTAGCAAATTCGCGTTCTCAGAAGTTCTGTTCCTGAGATGTAATGATGTGTATGAAACTACATTCTGCTTCAGCTGAGGGTAAGGATTTGCCAGTCACCATTTGGCTGTTGTTCAGGGCAAAGCCTGTTTTTTTCTTTTTCTTTTTTCTGGTACTGGGAATTGAACTCGGGACCTTGCACTTGCCAGGCAGGCACGGCGCCACTGAGCTATCCCCGGCCCCAAACCCTGCTTTTAAGAATTGAAATGTATGCTCGGAGGCTAGTGCTATTCAAGTTAATAGACTTTAAAGACTGAAAGCTGATAAAATGATTTTTACTTGGTTTCTGTAAAGTAGTCAGTCTTGTTGTTACAGAACTAAAAGTGCTTTTTTCCTTGTGTTTTATTCTGTGCAGAATGTGGTGGTAAGATGCACTTGAGAGAAGGTGAATTTGAAAAGGCACACACAGATTTTTTTGAAGCCTTCAAGAATTATGATGAATCAGGAAGTCCAAGACGAACTACTTGTTTAAAATACTTGGTCTTAGCAAACATGCTAATGAAATCGGGGATCAATCCATTTGACTCACAGGAGGTGTGTGTGTTTCACTTGTTAATTTCTCTTGTCAGCTATCTTCTATAAGATTAAGTAGTAGTCTTTCTTTTTGCATATACAAAGCTAAACTTTCTCTTTTTTTTACTGTGTTTAGGCTAAGCCGTACAAAAATGATCCAGAAATTCTAGCAATGACAAATTTAGTAAGGTAAGATTTTATATTTCAGTTAAGGTAAATTTCTTTAAAGTGGTCCCTAAGGGGAGAGAGAAAACGTCTCAGGATTCAGTTAATATGCAGCGTTTATTCTTTTGTATTTTTGTATGAGATACACAGAAGTGCATAAAATTTTTATTTTCTGAAAGTTATGCTGTTGGTCACAGATTTTTTTTTTAAAGTCACCAATTTTGTAAAGTAGTCACTGTTTGGTTTTTTATTATCTATGTATTTTTTATGTATATGCCTATGCCTGCTATTTTTCAATGGAAAACTAATTGTAAATTAGTCTTCAAGCATTTACAGTTTTTTGCCTCTCTCAGACTTAACCCAAAATAAAATTATTAAGGGCTCAAAAAAAGTTAATTTCCCGTGGAAAAAGACCACAGAAACATATTATTTTACTCAGGTACTGTATCAATGACAAAATGAAAATAACATTTTAAAACACCCACCACCACCACCACCACCCCCGGCTTGGTTCTGCCACCTACCTCTCAAGCACAAGGTCCCAAGTTCGATCCCCGGTACAAAAAAAGAAAAAGAAAATGTCCCCTGCCTACTTAAGGTGGACGGTTAGGAGGCAGATGGGTCATACTGGTAAGAGACTCAAGGAGTTACTGAATACTTTTGTGGAAAAGATGTGAGTAGTGATGATTAGCAACTGAAGAACCTGCCATAATTAGTTAATAATAGTAAATAAAATTCTAGAAAATAAGACCAAACAGCTGGGCACAGTGATACACACCTGTGATTCCAGCACTCTGGGAGGCTCCCAGCCTGGGAGACTGGTGAAACCCTGTCTCAAACCCCAGTTCAGACAAGAGGACTGGGGATATAGCTCAATGCCATGTCCCTGGGTTCAAGTTCCACTACCACAAAAATACTGAACGAGAAACCTAGAAGAGCAGAGGAGAAAAATCATTGAACAAGAGGAACATTCCTTTGGGCTAGGAACAAATGGAGCTCTAGGATTTGTAGGTTTTTTTCTTTGTAGAAAGTGTAAGAAATTACTGTATCAGGTTCTGTTTTAGGTTGTGTGTGCTCAGTTGACAAAAGCTGGAAAAATAGGGAGATAGGGCGGGTGTTTTTACAGGTATATGTAGATAAAATAACATGTTTTTTAAAACCTCGTTTTAAAAATAGTATTTGACTATAAATTATGAGTCACCTATATGTACACTTTATATACTTGGAGAAAGTAGCTTATTTCATGATAATAAGATCCTTTTTAAAGTAACATTATTTACTTTGCTTTTTATTTGGCTATGACTTTTATAAGTTATTAGATTTTTTTTAAAACCTTAATTTTAGCCACAGAAAAATAACAATCAGGTTTGGGATTTTGTTGTTTTGTTTTTTGAACTGTGAGTGTTTAGAGGACAAAACCTCTTAAGAAATCAGTTCTTTCACTGTTCATTACTTTAACCTATTTTAGTATGTTTATTGAACCAGATTGATTTAGTTATAAAACACTATGCCTCTATCTTTATTTCGAGCAGTTTTTTTCACCTACATTGGGCCACTACTCTAAGAGCTGATTTGGTTAGGCATTAACTTGAAAATACTTTTTCAATGTTTTGTTCATAACTAAATTGCTAAGCAGCAATCTAAACTTTTAAACCTCTTAAAGAAATACTGAGGAAAAGTTTTGCCCTAGACATTAGTATTTTATATAAATTAAATTGGTTAATGACTGTATATTAAGATAGATTAAAGGACCAATGTATCAGACCTTTAAAAAGTAGTAATTGTATTTATATGTTTACTGTATTTAATTAACCATTTACCCCAGTGAAGCCTCTGTGTTGGAACTCAGGAGCTTATTTTAATGGTAAATTTGTACCCAGAGAAGTGACACATGATGGCCACAGTGTTGTCTAAGATTTATAATTATTTTAAAATTTTATTGATAGGGAAGATATCCCATAGTTAAAAATAAATGGATGCAGGGCCGGGGATTTAGCTCAGTGGTTTCGCTGCCTGCTGCACAAGTGCAAGGACCTGAGTTCGATCCCCGGTACCAAAAACAAAAAAAATAATAATAAAAATAAAAAATAAATGGATGCAAATATAAGATAAAAAGTGTGTGAGCAAATGTTTGCCCTACTTGAATATATCCTCCTGTAGTATGTTACAGTAATGAGTTGAGGTAGGTAAGAAGTAATGCTTCCTAATTTTATCTTCCTAGTCAGTTGCCAGCAGACTAGAGGAAAATAATTCCTGTTGAAGCAGTGAATCACCTGCCCCTAACACGAAGTTACATTGCGACCCAAGAGATGGAAGCGCAGCAGAGGGCCTGCAGTGGTTGATGATATGTCTTACGTAGAAAGCAGACAGTGGTGCCGTGTCCAGAAGGTTGGCTCTTCCTTCTCAGCACCGTTAGCAACCCCAGTAGCTCCGGAAAGTTACTTCAAGAGTAGATATTCGATACCTCAAAGCTACGGATGTAGAGCTCCCTGGCCTGCAGCAGGGGACCCATCTCTCCTTCACCATGTGCGCTCTTGTGCCACTAATCATGTGCCACTGATGTTTCTGCAGAATAGTTCAGTGGAATTTTAAGGCCGAAGGGCCTTGAGAAGCAGATGTTCTTTTGAAAAGTGTTGGCAGTTGCTGGTAGCTTTCTAGAAGATAAAAGTTAGGAAGCTGCACTCTCTGGATAACCTTCAGAGAGGATATGCTTTCTTATTTGAAAGATAAAGCCAAACTCCTTCGTGTAGTAGTGTGCGTGAAGCCTGGTTTCTTTCATTAAGAACAGTTAGGAATTAAATTTACTATTTAATTTGAAAACATCAAGCATTAAATAGTTGCTAAATGTTCTGTTATCAACTTAAAATAAGATTTTGACATTATTTTGATTAGCTATGTGTAAATACCCCAAACAAGATTCATTTACTCTTTCTGAAATAAAATTACTAATTGGGAAGGCTTTTATTGTTTGGGTGCTAGGGATTGGACTAAGGGACTCATGCATGTTAACCATATGCTCTCCCATTAAATGACATCCCCAGCTCAGATTTTTTTTTTTTTTTTTTTTGGTCAGAAGAATGTGTACGTGTTTAATTCTGATTTCCATGATCAAACAGTAATGTAATTTAGACTTTGCATATGAATATTGAGACAGGCTCTGGGTTATCTAATTTAATATATGATTTCTCCAAAAAATTTTTACTTTTTTTCTGTTAGTGCCTATCAGAATAATGACATCACTGAATTCGAAAAGATTCTGAAAACAAATCACAGCAACATCATGGATGATCCTTTCATAAGAGAACACATTGAAGGTACATTCTTTTTGCTAACCAAATTCTCTGAGTTTCTTTTCCACTGTCAGACAAAAGCTTCTTAATAGAATTAAGCTGTTATTGCAAAGTTCAGGAATGTTTCTTAGTGCTCTCATGGGCTAGTTTGCCTCTTAAAATTATAAAACTTTGAAAGAAATCATTAGCCAATTTCATGCCAGTATACTCACATGTGCCACGCCTCCCACTGCACAACCTGCCTCATTCTGGAAACTTGAATCCAGGGCTTTTGTGCTGAGCTACAACCCCAGCTCTTTTTTATTAACTAATTTTGAATCGGGGTCTCCCTAAGTCACTGAATTGCCCAGGCTGGGCTTGAATTTATAACCCTTCTGCCTCAGTCTCACAGAGTTGTGGGGTTACAGACAGGCCTGTGCCATTACACCCGGCTGTCAGGTTCTTTGATAATACCTATTTTGTTTGAGATGGTGTCCTCTTTTATGTTCTTCTAATTAAGGTATTGGTCCATTTTCTTGATGCTTAGGCTCAGCATTAATTTTTAAGGTTTATTTGCCCAAAAGCTTTGAAAATATCCTACTGTAGATAATGCTGAGATGCATTTATTACAGAAGATAAGTAAAATTGGAAAGGTTTCATACCAATAAGTTAATGAGATTTTTAATAAAGTCTGTTGAATTACCAGAGACAAAAATCCTCTTTTGTTCTGGGGCCTTTCCAGCTCCAGGGTTCCACCTGTATTGAGCTGTTTGAAGGTATAGTTAGAGACCATTTGGAACAACTCCCTTAATACTTGGATTCCAGAGGCATTGGGAGAATTTGAAGAACACTCTAGAACTAATATTCTGTTCTTTCCTTTCTATCTCTTTAATTCTACAGACTTCTTCTTTTAAGTTGTCATGTGAACCTAATGACACTGCACTTCATAGTTAAATAGAAAAACCAAAGCTTTGTCCATGAACTCCAGTATAGTTTTTAAAAATGAAAACTACAGTTTTATGTAAATAAGATGGGGGCAATTATAAAAGCAATGTATAAAATATACTGTAGGTTTCTAAAGAGCGTAAAACAAGGAACTTGGCTAGTGTAAATCAGCACTTCTGAAACAATGTTAACTATTGAGGGACTGGTAGGCAGTGGGCTGTTGCTGAGAAAGCGGGATGGTATTTTAGTAGAGTCACAACAAAAGCAAAATCGGGTGGGAAAAAGAAACTATGAAGGGCCTCTAATCACGTTGTGCATGCATTAGACCCAAACACCTGTCTGCTTATAAAACAGAGAGATAGACTTTGAGATTATTAGGATAGTGTAGAAGTGTATGATTCATAAGAACAAACTATTAAATACATATGTATTGATCTTTGTCTTTTTTTTCAGAGCTTTTACGAAACATCAGAACACAAGTGCTCATAAAGCTAATTAAGCCTTACACAAGAATACATATTCCTTTTATTTCTAAGGTATTTATGGCTTTTAATGATGTTTGTGCTTTGTACTTACAGAGACAGTAGAGACAGTATCCCTGTCTTCCTTTGAAAAGAGTAACTGACTTGGAAACAGTGTATAATATTAAATTAAGTATAACCTAAGGCCTTTACTTTTTTTTTCTTTATTTTTCTTTTGCGGCACCAGGGATCAAACTCAGGAGCTTGCACTTGTGAGGGAGGTGTGGTGCCACTGAGCTAAATCCCTGGCACCCTAAGGGCTTTCCTTTTAGTGTGAATTTTTCTGTGTTTGGGGGGCATAAATTTGAATTCGCAGAAAAGAGCTTTAACCTTGTAGAAGAGAAACTGGTAATCTTTAAAATTCTGAAGATTTTTCCAGCCTCATGAGAAAATGGTAGAAGAAAGTAGTGGCTCAAATATATCATTATTGAAGGACCACCCTCAACAGTAAAATTGTAGTAGGAATATACTTCAAATTACAAAGTTAAATCTTTGTTAGGCCTAAGTTTTAGAGGATGTTTTGAATTGATAATATATTTGTTCAAAAATCTCTTTTACTAATATTCCTTTAAGTGGTGGAAATGAGTTTAAAATCAGCCTGATTATATAAAGTCATGAAATCTTTAAAAATGTTAAATGGTAGAATTATAATGACTCTTCTGTCTTAGGAGTTAAATATAGATGTAGCTGATGTGGAAAGCTTGCTGGTGCAGTGCATATTGGATAAGTAAGTACTTTCCCTTTTTAAATCAGATGTTTGGGAACATAAATTTTGAATTACATGACAGGTAGTTGAGTATGATTTTTTTTAAAAGAAGCACTCTGTGGCTGTGATTTTTCTGTTAGAAGAGATGTTTGTGTATACATGATGATTTTTGATCAGTGAGTGAGCATGTTAAGTACATAATCTCCGAAAAAGTTCTAAATGTTTGCCGAACGCTTCATTCAGTGTATGACTGATGTGTAGCAAGGAAATTATTGAATGAATAATGGTTTTTTTATGTTTTTAAGTATAGGGTATTTGGCAAAAGTAATTTTGAAATTTTATCTCTTAAACAGAACATTATTTAAAGCCTCATGACACTTGGCCTTGATTAATTAGGTAAATCTATGCCTGGTGATTCTTTCTCTGAAAAGGATGAAAAGTAGCTGATTTTTAACTAACACTAAATGTCTTTTTTTCCTACACTCACCAGCACACTCCCACCCCACCCTTTGAGACAGGGCCTCATTAAATTCCCCCCGCTGGGTCCCAACTTGCAGTCTTCCTGTACAAGCCTGCTCAGAGTACTGGGGTTATGGGCATGTGTCACTGTGCCCAGCTAAACCCACTATTTTTAACGTAGGCCACAGCCTTTTCATTTTGCATTTATTTTGTACCGTGAGTGTGTTATGCAGTGGCAGGGCAGGGTCTATGCCTAGTAAAGTCATTTGTACACACATTTTCTTTATTTACTCCAGCACTATCCACGGCCGAATTGATCAAGTCAACCAGCTCCTGGAATTGGACCATCAGAAGAGGGGCGGTGCACGGTATTCTGCACTAGATAAGTGGACCAACCAGCTGAACTCTCTCAACCAGGCTGTCGTCAGCAAGCTGGCCTGAGGAGACCAAGCTCCTGCAGACCTGCTTACGTGCAGAGACGCAACCCTTAGAGAACTGGGGTGGCAAAACGACTGTCGGTTGATGTGTCCTGAAAATGACTGGAGTTACGGCAGAAGTGCTATTTGATCAACTGGTTTGTGTTTTGCTGCTGCATTTATCCCAAGAAAAACAGCTTTAATCTCCAGAAGAAAACCAAAATACCACGGGATTTATGCTGTATCAACATCTTGCCCTAAACATACAACATCATAGTAATTTGTCATGGGCAACATGACCGGAGAGAAGATTTTGTCATGATTTTAAATATACTGACACGCTACTGTTGGTTAAATTTAAACATGTTTTACCTGCAGAAATCCTCTCACAAATAACCTGCAATAACTTGAAATGCATACCCTTTTGAACACTTCCTTTTCTCATGTATAAATGAAAATGTTTGCTGCATTTTGCAAAATGTCAATTCTCCAGAAATGTGTCCATATATTTCTGTACCTGCAGTGTAGTAAAGGTTTAGATGAAACCCCGTAACTATAGTGGCATACTGTCACTTAGGTTTCAAGCAGCAAAATAAACAGTGCAGCTCAGAAATTGTAGTTTGGTTCTTGATGTGTTTTTATTACATTTGGGGTTGTTTTGTTTTTTAGTATCTTAGAAATTTCAAATTACTTTATCTTCAGTTAATGATTAAAAAACTTGTAAGCAAATAAGTTATTTGTTTTCAGGATTTTTAAAGTAGTCTTTATTGATAAGGAGAACTGCTTTCTAACAAAACACTTACCTTTGACAGTGATGCTTTAAAGGAATAAAATTCTTTTTTTAAGAATGGCATTCCTTTTAAAAAGAATAGTTTCAATCTCAGAATGTCACTTTAAACAAATATGCCAGAACGTAGACAGCTAAATGAATGTTACCCTGCGTAGCGATCGTGCTGGAAGGTTGTTTCAGTGCCAGCAATCTACCATTGCCCAAAACCTCCTGGGTTTGCTCTCAGAGAATTGCATTCAAGATTAATTTAAGAAACACATACTTGTAACTTTTTGATTATACCTTGTTTTCTAAAAACAGCATTGCCACATTTGCTTTTAGTTACCATCATTTGGCGCCAGGTGACAGTTTCCAAAAATTAATTTTGAGGCAGTGCAGGAAATGTGTACCTGGCTTTGAGGGCAGCCCAGCAAGAGTCTGCAAGGCGGTGTGTGCAGTGGTGGAGCGGCTGAGCGCAAGCTGCGGCCTTCCAAGGTGCCTGCCTCCAAGGGCTCAGCTCCTCTGACTGGACTGAGTTTCGGACGTATTTCATTTTGGAACAAATTCACAGTATTTTGTAGTGTCAAAGGTGAGAACTAAGGTTAGCATAATTTCTTTGGTTTTTCTATTGCTTGTTATGCAAAAAGTCAGTGGCGGTTCAGAAGGAAGACTGTTGCACCTGGAGAGTGACAACCAAGAATTTTTGATCATTAAAACAGATTTTATAAACAGTGGATGGAGCATGGACTTAAAACAAGGCATGCTTATTCGGTTTTGTCAAAATTTTACAAAAATATGATATATATTTATACTAAAACTATATAATCCTTAGATTTAGGAAAGCAATCAGTTAATGTCTTTAGCAGATTTAAGCAGTATTAAATACAGGTATAAGTTGGAAATTGTAGACAACTGAAACAACAAAAGACAAAATGTCTGTGGTAGGGAATAAAAAGTTCAAGATATTATAAAATTTATGTGTATTTTCTTCTCTTTTGTGAAAAGTGTGCTAAATTTTTTTTACAGGAATGATATTAATTAGGATTTATTTTTCAATATAATTTGGAGACCCTTTGTTACCCAAATAAAAATGACAAGTTTCTGTGCCTGTATTCAAATATGTATGCATGTAATAACCTTGGAAAGCTAAAGCCCTGTTTAACTGAATTTCCTGGAATTAGAGTGCAGAGGATTTGGGTGATGTGTGTAACTCTAGCCCTGGAACCCTAAAAGGCCCACGCAGTTCTGTGATGTCTGTGCTGCTTATCATAGTGCACTTTCCAGTTTCTAGAGAACAAGCATATGCCTGTTGTCGTTTGTTCAACTGGGCCAAGTATTTATTAGTATCTAAAATTATCTCCTACCCTTTAGCTTAATGGAGTTGTTATGTATTGCACAGGCTGTACTCACTATGATATTCCCTAGATCTTTCCTGAGTCCTTTGACACTGCTTCTGGAACACATTTGTTTTTTGTCTTTTATTTTAATATATCTAACTTAAAATAAGCTTTTTTCTTTTCAACACTCTTGTGTTTTTGTGCATCAGATATTACAAGGTTGGAAACTTAGTGCTTATGGAAATATAACTGAGTGTAAGGGAAGTAAACATTTGGTCAGCAGTGGAAGGAGCATGATCACTAGCACTTAGCAGTTGATTGAGTCTTTCCTGCTTTTGTGAAAACTACGTGAGTAGCTTACACCAGTTTGCAGTGTTTGCCTGAGTAGCTTACACCAGTTTGCACTGTTTGCCTCGTTTTCTTTTTATCTTTGAACTAGGCTGAGCCATCCTTGGATGCCTCAGATAGATGCTGTCTACAGTAAGAGCTGGATTTCTGTCACTTGCTCTTACTCTCACATTAAAGTTTGTGATTGAAAATTCTTTCTTACCTACATCTTGATGGAGCATAACTGCTTATTCTTTAAGATGAAATAAGTACAGTGCTTTTCTAAAAAATGAAATAAGTATTAAGTATTTCTTTCCTAACAGCTGCTTGGCGATAGTGTATCTATAAAGACACAGGGTCTAATTCCACAGTGGGACTGGAGCTTAAGTGAAGCCTCTTGTACATGGGCTGTCTTTGTTTCTTAGCTTATACAAAATGCATGGTCAGGCCTGGTGGCCACTGCAAGGTTAAGCTATATTGTTCAAGGCCAGCCTGAAGTACGCAGTGAGACCCTTTCTCCAAAATAAAAAGGATACAAGTTTGCCTCAAAAATACCTCCTCTTTATATTTAAGATATCTACAATGGTAGGAATTTCCTTTTTTAATCAGTCTTGATACTAAAGTAAACCCAGTTGAGTTCATGTTTCTTTGGGGCAGAGGTGTCAGTGTATAGAACAGGTTATGTGAGAGACCAGTCCATCAGACTAAAAGGTGTTTGCCTAGTGGATTCCTCTTGCCCCTTAAGAATTTGGAAATATTCTAATCATTTCTTCCTCAAGACTTTAATAATAATAAGTTCTTTTAGTCCCTGTTCAAAATAAACCTGAAAATTTTTCATTTGGTTCAGATCTTTGAAGTGAGACTTGGCCGTATAAAACAAGTAAATCTGTGACTTTTGCTCTTTATATGGGGTTTTACTATGAAAAGTTTTTAGCATTTTGAAGAATATAAACATTTTGAAGTGATCTATGTAACCAAAAAATTTACATGTCAGTGTTAACGCCATCCAGGGACTTAGAACAAGACACAGGGTTTCAGTTATAAGAACTTGAAGCGCAAAGCATTTGGTCTTCCTTTTTGTGATCAAAATTAAAATTACCCTTGGTTTTTTTTGCAGGGGGAGATGGTTCTTATTTTTGCTGTCTCTGTTTCAGATTGTAGGGAGGATTTGGTTTTTAGTTTTTCAGGACACCAGCCCATATATTTGTGGTACAATTACAAATAGGAATTTATAAGACCACCTTTACTGTAGGCATATCAGTCTATTAAACTCAAGATTACTCAATTTTACTGTATAACTTCTAGGTTGTGTGTGCCTTTGATGACTTTGGTTAGCCAGTTCTTCCAAATGATTTTTCTCTTTATTGGATAATATTTTAAAAGATTTTAAAAGAATATAATAGTTTTAATGCCCTTTGGAAATTTACAGTTTGTTTGTTTGTTTTGTTTGTTTTGGTACCATGGATCAAACTCTGGTCCTTGCGCTTGTGAGGGCAGGCAGCGGAACCACTGACCTGAATCCCCGGCCCGGATTTATGTTTTGTAATCACTACAAATTAAAATTAGACATTGGTAGCAATCAGTAATTCTAAGTATTTCTCAAAATTTGCTTTTGAATCTTAAGAGACTTGCTTTTGACTTTGGTAATATCCTTGAAGGAAACAGTATGTGGTTCTCTAAATTTTTGCCCTTTTAAGCAGGGCGTGGTGGCGCATGCCTGTAATCCAAGCACTCAGGAAGCTGAGGCAGGAGGATGCCACAAGTTGGAGGCCAGCCTGGTCTACATAGTTCAGGCCCACCCTGAACTACAAAGGGAGACCCTGCCGCAAAAAACAAAAACAAAAACAAATTTTTTTTGCCCTTTTACCATCAAGTATTTTCTCAAAACCAGGTATAATTGAAAATCTTAATCATCAAATATTTCGGCAAGAGAGGTAGGTCTCACCTCTACCTTAAAACCTTGTGGCAGGCAAGAAGAAACTATGTCTAAAATACTCACATAGTGTGGAACCAACTCTTTCATGCTGGCAAAGTTTTAAGCTTGGATGAAAGTTCCCACGTGCAGGGCTGACCATGTGGATGTATATGTAGTGTACCGTGTGGATATATATGTAGTGAACATACTTGTGGAGGTACAAAATTCACTCTACAGCCCATCGCAGTATTTTTTTTTTTTTTTCAGTTTTGAGTGTTTGTTTATGACCTGGGCAGGTTTCATAAAAAAGAACTGCCAACTGCTGCACAAGTGCAAGGACCCGAGTTCAATCCCTGGTACCAAAAAAAAAAAAGAACTGCCAGGGCAGCAATAACTTTTGTGTTAGGAAAGTTTCATGTGGAGGACTGCCCAAATTTACACAGTAACCTGGAGGGATTCATTTTTATTTAATTCTGAAATAAGGTCATTTTAAAATCAGTTTGTAAAAGCTATTTGTTTTATTTAACATGCTAGAGTAAAAGCATTGTTCTAGTCATCCCATGAAGTTGTCAAGTTTTCGTGTGCTCGATTTTAGTATTTACTAATTGTTGAACTGTTTACCTATTCCTTGTTATTTAACCACTCCAGTACTGCTTGGTGCATCTATTTTAAGTAACACTGAAGGTAATTTTTCAATTATATTTTAAGAAATGAAACTGATCAGGGAAATGCAGTGGGTTTTGCAGTGTGTTAGATAATTCGTTGCATTCCGAGTTTCCTACTTCTGTGTACACTAATGTTAAAATTGACAAGGCTACAAGGCTCGGGCAGGGGATTTAGCTCAGTGGTTTCACCACCTGCTGTGCAAGCGCAAGGACTTGAGTTCGATCCCTGGTACCAAAAAAAAAAAAAATTTGACATAGATTCCTTGAGCTTACACTAACTCGGTGGTAAGATGCAGATGAGGGATGTAGCACAGGATGTCTACCTGGAATTGAGAGACCCCTGGCTTCACAGTGGAGGATCAGCTAATGCTACAAGGTGAGTCAAGCTGCTGAGAGGCCGAGGTGCTGAGAGGCCAAGGTGCTGAGAGGTCGGCTCATGTGGAGGCACACGTGCCTTCCTGATAACCAGTTAACATAACCTACCCGAGGAAATATGTACTGTATCAATATTAGTTACAATGAGTATAGGACCCGCAGTGACTTTACAGCATAATCTGTAAGCTTGATCAAATACTTCAAGAAAGTTCACCTCCATGAATAATCTTTTAATGTTTTCTTAGAAAAAAGTGCTGAAAATCTTACTCGTTTGGTTTGAAAGTCAGTTTTGATTACCTTTTTCTGCTTGGAATCGCTCATGGAGGAGTTGGCCTTTCCTGAACCCTGTTTAATTATCTGTCCTGGCACAACTCAGAGTGCAAACAAGTGTCTCTCGTGAATTATTCCTCCAGTACAAAATGAAACATTTCCAAGCAGAAAATTAAAGCAAGGAAAGAAGTAGAGGGAGAATATACCCTCTCATGTCCCTGATAAGGTGCTTTAAAATGAACCATTTAAGAGCTACAACACCTGAGAAACCACTTGTGAGTTTGTTACAAACCCCAAAATAATACTGTTGTTGGTATAACCTTCAGCCCGGAGGAATGGGCCAACTCTAATCTCAAAGTACAATGATAATGCAGTCAGACAGCTTTTGAAAGTCAAAAAATGTTCCAGACTAAGCTGTAACCAAAGTTCCAATGTAAATTCTAAAACCAGTAACATTTTGTACAAGGCAAATTTTGGTCTCGTGAAGCAGATAGCTGTGTCCTGTTTGCACTGCGTTTCCAGCCACAGTGGTAGATGGTGTGATGCCCATGGCTTCAACCAGCAGGGAGCTACATGTGTAACACGCACCTAACATTTGGAGTTGTGTTTTGATTTGCTGTACTTAGTTTTGTGTTCTGCCTCTTAAAATACTAAGTGGAAATTTATAGTTTTCCTTCTAGAATTCTATTTTTTAAGCTCTGTATTATGGTAAATCCTCTGTAAGTTAGTGGTTTTCAATGGAAGAAGGTTTACCTGTCTCAGACGGGAAAGAATACAAAGAACAAGTTGATGTGCCTTACTCGACAGGGACAGCTTGCTCACTGCCCTTTCTCACTGTTGGGTTTACCACCAGGAGGCAGTCAGGGAAGGAATCCAAACGTGCTAGATGCTGGAAGGCCCGGCCCTTTCTCCTACCCCCTTCATCTGTGTATTTAGCCGATACTTACCCCTGTGCTGGGGACTCTCCACAGGCCGGACAGTGCCCTGAGGAATAAATCGGCCTGTGTCTGAGACCTTAGTTCCCTGGGGAGGGACAAGTTCATTTCCAATGGAGGAAACTGTGCCAGTCAATAAGGAAAACTGTTTAC